TGCAACAATTCAGGTATACAAAACAGAACTATGTAGATCATTAGATGAATTGAATTTCAATAACTATATCTGTAATGTAGGAAAAATGGCATTTTTGTTATATATACTTTGTTACATTATGCACTGATGATTAAAATGTATTTATATATTACAAAATTTAATTATAAAATTACAAATACTCTAGTAGCTCTTTACAAATAAACATCATCTGATATAGAGAATTTTATAATTTACTTATTTTAAACATTTTTAATTAATGGATTGAGCTCATATACTGTTTATATTACCATGTCGTTTGAAATAAATGTAATCAGAATGAAACAGTACTAGAAAGAATTATGATACAGAAAATAACTTTCCTTTGATAAAATTACAGGTAATAGTAGTTTATTGTCCTAGAACATGTCCTGATCCCCAGTTATGACCGTTAAATATGTTTCTGTTAGGTTGCGCATTGGATTGTGCTCTTTGAGCAGGAGGTGCTCCAAACCATCTGATTCCGCCCCTCTTAGGTGGAAAATATGATTCAAGTACTTTGGGAGTGTTTAATAATTGTGGACCACCAAATTCTTGGGGGTACTTGAATTTCAAAAATACATAAAGGTGTCCAACGAGAATACCAAACAGTTCCATCATGCCACCTCGAGAAATAATGAGATTAAAAGCAAACAGTACCCATGGCAAGTACATTGCTTTAAATTGTGTACCTGTTGGTGTAATAAAACGTACAATTTAAAAGTTAATTATAATGGTAACATTAGAGTGCATGAAATCAATTCTCTTAGTAAAATATTGCATACCAAACCAGAAGTTAACAATAACATCCTTATTCAATTGGCACCAGACATACAATACACTAAGTACCATGGGATCCATTAAAACATAGAATTCACAGAGAAGTCCTATGATGATGCAGCATATCCAATTGAATAACAGTAGATAGCAATAATCTGCTGGTCGTCCATCATATTCTCCACGTTCTAACCTCATCGAATAAATATACAGAAGATAACAATTGATCAGGAAATGAAATCCTGTACCCTGATCGAGAGGATAAAAGAAAACACTGGTCGCTGCCCTCCATATCTCAAAGCGATTAATGAAACGATCGTACGTAAGTATTAATGTTGTTGGACTGATCAATCCGAATCTACCGATTAATGTAAAGAAACCTGTACATAATAGCCAATATCTTGTGAAAAATGGTAAAGAATTCAACCAATCTCGAACGTCTGACATTTTTCTTCTTTTATTGTAGTCAACGTAAAACTTTAACGAACGTATAATCAATTTTGCTTCTGAATAACAACGTCCAACGTCTGACGTGTGATTACTTGGCGACTAAACAATGCACACGTATAGATTAGGTTAGGAACTGTGAGAACTAACATGGAGTCGTAACATATGTATCTTCCCAGTTTATATATACAATGCATTTCGTCCATGTTACATATATTTCT